CCTCAACGACCTCCACCCCGTCCTCTCAGTCCCTCACAGGCCTTTCTTGTTCCCTCCCTCTCCCCACTCCTCTCTCAACTTTTTGGCGTCGCGGCGCTGCGCGCAGCGACGAGGCGTAGAAAGTCGAGGGCAGGCAGTGAAGCGCTCGCGTCTACGCCCGGCCGAGCTCTCAGAGACTGCTGAGGATCTCGCAGCCGGTAGCAGCCATAACGATCTGGGCGTGCATGGCGGGGAGATGCGATGAGCAGACGGAACTACAGTGCGGGTGGAAGGTGACAAAAGCCAACCAGGGCAGGAAGGCGGGGAGAGCGAGGAAGCAAGAGTAGACCGACGAGGGAGAGCGTCAAGGAGCGACGGAGAGAGCGAGCTGAAGGCGGTGGAGCCGAAAAAAGTCGCAGGCCGAGGGAGCCGCGAAAGCTGGCGGAACCGGGCGGCGCGCCGGAAACGGCGGCGGCCGAGAGGGCGGCCCTTGAGGGAGAGGCCTGGGCTGGGCCCCACCCCCCAGAGGTGGGGGCCCGGCAGGGAGCGGAGGGGGGGGGGGGGGCGAAGACGGGCAGGAGCCAGAGAGTGGCGAAGCGGCCCAGGAGCGTGGCGGCAGCGCAAGGTGGCCGCAGCGGGCGCTCCCGGCTGGGGGGGCCCGAGGAGCCGCGCCGCCCAGGCAAGGGGCGGGGCGAGCAGTGGCCGAGGCCCTGTGGGACCTGAGACTGGGAACCCGCGCGGGTGCACCATTCAAGGCAGCCGGCCGCAGCGAAAAGTGAGGCCGGGAACTATGAGAACTGGACGGGGGGGGGGGGGGGCGCCGTTCACCGTCGCCCAGCGTTCCAGCTGGCCCATGGGGGCAGGGCCCGTCCTGCGAGGACGGGCCAGGGGAGGGTTCCCAGGGAGGCTCCAGCAGGGCCCACTGGGGAGTAGCGGAAGGGCCAGTGCGGAGCGGGAGTGGGCGGTGACCCCGACCCTCGTCGCCACGGGTGGATTCGAATCGAAACCCAGGCCGGAGCGCACAAGAGGAGAGGTCTGGGGAGCAGCGGTATCATTATCTCTTTGCTCACCACGACGACACCACCACCACCACGACGACGGCGACGGCGACGGGGCGACGGCGACGGCGACGGCGACGGTGACGGCGACGGCGACGGTGATGGCGAGCGTCGCGCAGGCAAGTCGCTCATGGAGCGGGGTCTCGCCGGGCGCATCGCGAACGTCAGCGGCATCAGGGATCAAGGGGGCAGAGGGGAGGGGGAGAGAGGGGGGGGCAAGGTAGGTGTGCTCGCGCCATATCTGACATCCGACCCCTCCCATCCACCCGTTTCCATTGCGCTGTTTTCTTTCTCAGCCGACGGGTGCCATGGCGGACCTGGAACTCCAAAATGATGTATTCTGTTATACATGCGAAAATATGTTCGCGATCAGAGGGGGAGTTGTGTACATCAGAGGAGGATGAGGATGTGGTGTATGAGCAGGAGGATGAGCAAGAGGAAAGGGAGGAAGAGTTAGGAGGAGGGCGGGGAGGAAAAGCAGCTGCAGCAGCAGGAGCAGGAGTGGGAGCAGGAACAGAAGGACGAGTGGATGGCGGAGGAGGGGAAATGAGCGGGGAGACAACGATCAGGAAGGACTCGGATCCAGAACAGTTGCTCGCATTGGGGCAAAAGCGCCATGCTGGAAGGCGAGAACGTCATGCTGAACGGCCAACTCTGCAGCGGGAGCACCGTGTTTCGAAACACCGAAAACATTCCTATTGTAAACTACGTGTGAGCTATAAAATTTCGGAGTGCTGTGCGCCAAAAAAAACAACAGTGCGCGGAGAGGGCGCAATGGCCACTGGACGTCTTCGGGGGTGATAGGATGCTCGTGTTAGTGCGCACGCTGTAACATTTGGATTTCCTGCGAATCTGCGCGTTTCTCCTTTCCCCCCTGCTCCCTCTCTCTATCCTGCAGGCTGCCTGTCCCTTTTTGCGGAGGGGCTTGCCCCTGATCCTGGGATCCCCGCATGCGCGCGTGCCGCTCGGGCCTGACCCAGTTCGGCTAGGCCCTTGGTTCGTCCCGGGGCAGGCGCATCCGGCGGCGCGCAAGGCAGGGAAACCAGGGTTCCTCATGAACCCTTTATGGCCGCCATCTTCGCGACTGGCGCTCGCGGGACCCCTCTCTCCAGGAGGGCGTCTGGGCCCCAGACTGGCGGTCCCCGGCCTCGGCCACCGGGTGGAAGCGTCGGGGACGGAGGGCCCCGCTGCCTGCCCAGCCACGTTGGCGCTCGCCGGCCAAGGCCACTGGGTGGTAACGCCGGGGACGGAAGGGCCCCACCGTCTTGGGGGGGCGTTTGGGGACGGAGGGCCCCGCTGCCTGCCTCGCCATGCGCCGACGGCGCACCACTCGCGCCCAACTCGGGAGCGGATGCGCTGGGCGGCACTGGAGTGGTCGACGGCGTCTCCACCGCGCCGTCGACCTGGAGGGAGGAGACAACGCGGCGCCAGGTGGCGCCGGACCTGTGGTGACGCCTGTGCCGGGAGAGGTGGGCCGGATAGCCCAGACGCTCGGCCCGGTCGCCGCCCACGCCGACGACAACGACATCAAACGGCACCGACGACGACGCGTCCACGGAGGAGGAGGAGGAGACGCCGAACCGGCGCGCCACTCGCGCCCAACTCGGGGACGGCCCGCTCCCCGCCCAGGCGGCGGGGACGGCCAGGAGGAAACGTCGAAGGCTCACCTGCATCCTCAAGCCTGCGAGGAGGGAAGGAGGGGGGTTCGAGGTTCGAGTTGTTTTGATGTTGTTGCTTCCCTCCGGAAAGCTTCTCGTCGCCGCGGCCAGAGTATCTTCGAAGTCTTGGTCAAACCGCACCCCAGGAGAGCACCCGGGGCCATTTTTTTTTTGAGAGGCCCGGAGGGGTTATTCAATACGTCGCGCCAGAGGTTTGCTTTGGCTTCGGCTTCCAGAGGCCCGCTTTGGGACCAGAACTGACAGAAATCGATCCGGTATGAAGACCAGCCAAAATGGACCCAAGACAAGTCCAGAGACCCGTTTTCGAATAGACGCTTATCGGCCGGGGAGGGGAAGGAGGAAGCCCGCCAGATTCACTTGGTGTTGGGTGGGATCTTCGGAAGGAGTCTCATCATCGGCTTCGCCAGGGCGCAGGGGGCGCCCATACGCCCTTCTGAAGATCCCACGCTCTTCAAGCAGCTACGCGCGGCCATCGCGTACCCTTCGCAATTGGACACCGAGGTACGAATCGGGGCGATTCAGTGTTGCAGTGTGCAACTTGGCCTCATAGCGAGAAGGGTCGCGGTGATTGTGGTTTATCTCTTTGGCATATCTCACGGAATTGAAGATCGCAGTTTCAGTCTAAGTTAGTGTACGATTTGTTTGACAGGGAAGTCTATTAATCGATTGCTGGAGGCAGGGCGGGAACGATGGGAAGGATTCGATGCGACAGCCATGGAGCTGGCAGCAAGAAAACCAAGAGCACGGATACCAACAGCAACCATTTTGTCATGGACAGCAGACACATCAGCAACAATACGAGGTTTGCCGCAAGTCAAGGCCGTCCTCACTGGGTGTGCTGAAGCGCCCTGGGCACGCGGAAACCTTCCCTGGAGCCCGCGGTCCAGATCTGATTTGCTGCCATAACTCGACGACGACTGCAGGAGCGAACAAAAGAGGAAGGAGCCGGAGCAGCATTATTTTCCAGATGAGAAGCCAGACGCCAACGTGAACTGCGGTTGTACCAACACTGCAACCGCACGAGAAGCAAAAAACACATCTGCTCCCAGGCTGGGCCCTGGGCCTTCGAGCACGGGTCCTGACCGTGGCGTCTTCGTCCACGGCGGACCCGATCGCGACGACTTCGAGACACGCGATACGCAGAAACTACGGTAGTAGGGGCAGCGGTGGCACGCTTGGGTGCAGCAAGCGGAGGCGGAGGCGGAGCCAACAGGTGCAGGTGGAGGCGGAACGAACAGGAGAGGCGGGCGCAGGAGGCGGAGCGAACAGGAGAGCAGTGGCAGAAAGAGCCTGGCGCGCGATTCTGACCATGGGCGGGATCTAATTACCGCCCACACAACCTGCTGGGAAACAATTGCGGGGCAGGTCTCCTTCTCCTCCTCTTCCTCCTTCTCCTCCTCATCCTCCTCCTCATCCCCCCTCTTCCTCCTGCTCGTCCTCCTCCTCCTCGTTTTCGTTCCCTCTCCTCCATCCGGGCAAGGACGCCCTGCAGGGCGTCGTCAGCGTCGCCCTGAGCGGTGTTGCGCTGAAGGACGGGGAGGGCATCGGGACGCCGAGGAGCCTCGCCTTCGACGCACCGAAGATTCTGCCTCGTCGCCCTCTGCGGATGCCGGCGGAAGGTCCGAGAGGCCAACAGAGGTCAGCCCCAGGGCGGCCCTGCTGGCGGCTTTGCCCTCGGAGGCCGGCCCCCAGAAGTCGGAGGAGGAAGGGGTAACGATGAAGTCGCTGGCCCTGGAGAGCCCTCGCCGCCACGGCTGGATTCTCCTCGAAAGTCTGGCCAGAACGCACCCCTGGAGAGGTCTGGGGGAGTAGCGGTATACACAGAATGGAGGTCAGCGTTGGTGCACGAAGGGTTTGCGGAATCGCTGGCGGAGCCGCCAGGTCCCAGGGCTCAGCCTTTCTCTCCTGCTGCTGCTGTTCTTGTTCCCAAGACGGCGATTGCAAGTGGGTTCCTTGCATGAGGCGCGTTCCAGAGAGGGTCTCGCAGGCCTGCGACGCATCCTCGCCTTCGGCGGAAGCTGGCGGAAGTGCCGCGAAAGTAACTGGCGGCATGTTCGCCAGCTGAAGCTCGGCGGAAGGCGGCGAAGGTTTAAATGTGACGTCGACATCTTGGGATTCAGAGTTTCTGTAGCCGGCCATGTGTCGTCACGGCGCTCTATGGCAAAGTTGCACTCTCGTGTTAACCCTTCCCAGTCTCTCAAATGATATCGGCCTCCTGGGCTTGCGGAGCAAGCACGGGGCTAAAGCTCCACAGACAAGGTTTTCAAGGCGCAGGAGGATCGCTACGTATCAGATGTTGTATGCATCGTCTAGTGATCCCCCTCTTTTTCGCCTAGCTCTCATCATCCAGCTGCGCTGCCGCGCGCATCCGCCACCGCGTTCGGGCGGGCGTCTTGGTCATGGGAAGGCAGCGCCTTGGGGGGGCGAGGAAGGGCCAGCCTTATCCGTCTGCAGCCTTGCCGGCTGCGGCCGCATCAGGGTCTTCGGTGCTCATGAGCGGCTGATGGTTTCCTTTTCCCCTCCTCCTCCTCCTCCTCCTCCTCCTCCTCCTCCTCCTCCTCCGCGCTGCTCATGTTGGTCACGGCCCTAAGCCCTGGCACGCGAATGGCCTGCGACACGGCCCCGCAGGGGATGGAGTGGTTGGCCAGGCTGCGCTCCGTGGCCGTGGAGCATGGCGGCCTTGATTCGCTGCCGCCGGCCTTGGCGGGTGCGTCGCCTCCGTTGTGACGAACGCAGGCCATCGCGGCCCACCTGGAGGAGGCGGCGGCTGCATTCTCATCCATCCCACTGTACAGCACGGCGGTTGCCGAGGCCATCATCTCCCTTTGCCAGGAGCGGCGCGTCGAGACCGCGAGCGCAGCCGCTGAGTGCCGCCTGTCCAAGAAGATATGCACGCAGCGAATCGTAGGCAGATCTCTCCGAGACAGCCTGCGCCCCGACATCTTAGCTCCCATAATCAACTATCCAGAGGGTCTCGAAGTGGATTCCGAGTCCGAGCTTCTTGATGTAGGTGAATGTTGCGAGGCCTTGAAGCGAGATTGGCAAAGTTCCCCCAGGCATTTCAGAGTAATGTCGTCAAGACTCGACTGTAGAGCGTCCCTGTCGTTTCGAGTTCCCGTGCCAAAGGGGTGACCAGGCGCACTACTTCCATTGAGCGGGAGTTGGCCCACCCCTGGCTGCTCCACTGACAGTGCGCCCTGGGGCTCGTGCCTGCGAAGCTGTGCGATGACATTATAAGTCGGGTCGTCACGCTTTTCCACACATGGCTATCGCCGAGATGTGTTGTCCCGAGGCCGTGCTCCAGGGGATGCGGCAGCCGACCGCGCCGCCCTCAAGTCAGCCCGAATGCAAGTCGAGCTTGCAAAGCCCATGGCTCGATTCGATGTTCTCCACGCCTAGCAGCGTGCTCCCGCGTGCTCTCGATTTTGTCTACTCTTCCTCCCCCCTCCCGCGGCTTAGCTTCTGCCGAGCAGAGTCGATGCACGCGCTGCGGCGTGCGCCGGTGTTGCGACCGTTGGGCATTTCTTAATTCGCTTCTGTGTTTCAAGCTGCCTTTGGATTGTCTCGCACTGTGGTGGCAGCCGCGTTGTGGGAGTTCTTGTGGCCGTGCTCTCCTCCTTGTTCTCCTCAGGGGCAAAACATGATCGACCCACGAACCCGGAAAGGAATATAGAAATGTAACGTATGGCAGCGCTTTCAAAGACACTTGATTGGGTGACGGGCAAATGCAATGCTGAGTGTATCGATCTTGATGTCCCCTGCCGAGGGCTGTGCAGTGCTGCGCCGTGCTGAATTGCGATGTGCCATGCCGCGATTGTGCTCTATAGCGTCGTGGATCGAGTCCTCCTTTGCATCCGAGTCCTGACCGAACTGATCTGGATCTTAAGGTCGAGCTGCCTGAACACATAGTAGCTGCCCCAGCGCCAATTGACAGGGGGACCTGCTAGGAGGACGCGCCGCGGAACGTCTCAAGGGACGCGCCAGGCGACGTGCCAGGGGACGTGCCATGGGGTCGCACCGCGGGACGTGCCAAGAGGACGCGCTACGGAACGTGCCAATGGATGTGCCACGGGATGTGCCAGGGGACGCGCCACGCGACGTGCCAGGGGGACTCGCCAAGGGACGCCCCACGGAACGTGCCAAGGAACGTGCCAGGTTGCAATGCTGAGTGTATCGATCTTGATGTACCGTGCCGAAGTCTGTGCTGTGCTGCGCCGTGCTGAATTGCGATGTGCCATGCCGCGATTGTGCTCTATAGCGTTGTGGATCGAATCCTCCTTTGCATCCGAGTCCTGACCGAACTGATCTGGATCTTAAGGTCGAGCTGCCTGAACACATAGTAGCTGCCCCAGCGCCAATTGACAGGGGGACCTGCCAGGAGGACGCGCCGCGGAACGTCTCAAGGTACGCACCAAGCGTTGTGCCAGGGGACGTGTCATGGGGTCGCACCGCGGGACGTGCCAAGGGGACGCGCTACGGAACGTGCTGGGGACAAGCGTTTCGCTCGAGACATCCTGTCAAAGTCCTCATGCTAGACATCCGCCTGAGCGACCTGGACACGTGAAAACAAGCGTTTTGATCAACACATCCTCAACACATTCTCATGCTAGACATCCGCCTGGGCGAACTGGACGCGTGAAAACAACTGGTTCGCTCGAGACATCCTCAACACATCTTCATGTGAGACGTCCGCCTGGGTGACCTGGGCACGTGAAAACAAACGTTTCGCTCGCGACGTTTTCAACACCTCCTCATTCTAGACATCCGCCTGAGCGACCTGTACACGTGAAAGCAAACGTCTTGCTCGAGACATCCTCAACGCATCTTCATGTTAAACATCCGCCTGGGCGACCTGGACACGTGAAAACAAGCGTATCTCTCGAGACATTCTCAACACATCTTCATGCTAGGCATCCGCCTGGGCAACCTGGACACGTGCAAACAAGCATCTCGATCGAGACATCCTCAACACATCCTCATGCTAGACATCCGCCTGGGCGACGAGGATGCGTGAAAGCAAGCATCTCGCTCGAGACATCCTCAACAAATTGCGCTAGACCTCTGCCTGGGTAACCTGGAGGCGTGAAACCAAGCGTCTCGCTCGAGGCATCCTCAAGACCTGGGCACGTGAAAACAAGCATTTCACTTGAGAGATCCTCTGAATTCTAGTCCCCAGGAGAGGACAATCTATAACACAAAACAAGCGTTTCGCTCGAGACATCCTCAACAAATTCTGAAAACAAGCGTTTCGCTCGAGACATCCTCAAATTTTAATTCGCCGGCCCACCTCGATCTCGATATTTGTCGCAAGAGAATTCGCCAGCTCACCTCAAGTGAAAACCAGGGGTAAACCATCTAAAAGATAACCCTGGGCCTATGCCCTTTCCGGGAAAAAAGCGTGCTCCCACGTAATCGTCGCATCGGCCCCTGGACGGGCCCCCTGAGCCACGAGCCCTTCCCCGCGCTGCTCAGCCCGACATGCGCCCTCTAGCCAAAGGCGGCGCGGTTGAGCGAGTGTCGTGGAAGAAAGGGGTGCGGGCACATGCCACGGAGGGTCCTCTCTGAGCTCCTGGCTTCCGCAACACCTAATGCTTGTAGGGCAGAGCGCAGAGGCCCTGCCGCAAACATGAGAGCACGTTGGGCTCGATGTGCCGGGGGGTGCTGGGGGGTGGCGGAGGCGGACTTGTTGCTGCGCAAGAGTCGATGCCAATGAACAAAAACGGAAGCCCGACGCGTACCGGCCGCCGTAGGCGAGGTGGCGGATTGTTTGGGGAAGGATCGGAAGGCAGATGGCCTTTGAAGCCACCAGGTCCAAGATTCGAGCAGGCGCCCGTGAGCGCTGGCCCGATTTCCTGCTTCTCCTTCTGCTTCTACTCCTCCTCTTCCTCCTCCTCCTCCTCCTCCTAATCCTCCTCGTCCTGCTCATCCAAATCCCCGTGCTTCCCCTGACTACCTCCTCCTTCTCCTCGTCATTTCTTCTTCCCTCTCGTCGCAATAACATCCCCCATCAAAGTACATTCGTCGATGCGCAGTGTCAGTGTCAGTCTCAGCGCGGGCAGTTGCGAGCTGCTCTAACAGAGCCTGTATCACAACAAGGTGGCAGGCGGCCTGCCGCGAGCTTATCGCCGCGCTCACTATTCCCCCAGGCAGTGCCTGCGCCGAGGGGCCCCTGCGGTGATCCTGAAGAAAGCCTGGGGGACCCGGGCGTGGCGCCGACATCCGTTGTTCGCGGCCAGTCCCTCGGGGCCCCCAAAGGGTACGGTGACCACACCGTGTGGTGAGTCAGTAGCTTTTCGGGGTGGCCGCACGTTTTTGGGACTTGATTCGTTCTCCGAGGGTGTCTCGGGCGACTGGGGCCTCCAAGGTCCCAAAACCGTGCGGTGACGGACCCGTGCGGTATAAGGTCCTTGGGGATTCCGAGGTCACCGCACGGTCCATCACAGCACCATTTCGGAACCGCCACATCCCGACCAGCTCTTTTGCCCTTGGGTATGGCAGGATCTAGGCTGGCCGCGACTGGCCCCAGCTGGACCCCTGGTTTGGTGGGCTTTCGGACATCGGCGACCCAGCCCAGACCTCGACCTCCAGGGAGGAGGGGGATCAAGGACCAGGGCTCTCGGGCGTCTGTGTGGGACTGCTTCGGGCCGCCGGAGGCGTCTGGAGACCAGAGATCTGCAGACACCTCCAGGGCTTGCGGGATGGCCACGAATATTTCCAGTTGGCTGGGCCCCTGCCCTAGTGTGTAGGGGTGTCGGCTGGCCGCAGCTTGGCCTGACAAGCCCGACTACAGCTGGCACTACAAGTCCAGACACAATTAACGCGGCAACGACGCAGGGTGGCTTTGATGATGCTTCATCGTTGAGCGGTCTCTGCAAAGTTGAGAAGCGGCGGGTACTCTTTGTTGAGCGGCCACTTCAAAGTTGACGGGCGCGCTGGGCTCCTGGTTGGATGCACCCCCGCTCGTGCACTTCGATGCGCTGGCCAGAACTTTGGAGGGCAGGGGCAAGCTCCCCGCGGCGCGATTTCAATTTTGTTTCTTTAATTGTGATTGAATGTGTAGGGTCAAGGACAAGCCTGGCTGTGAGTGGGTACTCCTCCTTGGAGTGTTCGGTGTCTTGGGTATCAACATGCCTTGGACTATCGGGGACGGGGCTCATATTCTTAACCCGCGTATTGATTCCCAACCGTCCGGTGGTGGTGGGTTCTCGTTTTGAAGAGACACGCCCCACGCCACTCACTCCTCTTCGCCCCCCCATCCACCGACCGCATGCGTCACCCACGCCAATTTCGGCACACCCCTCACCTCCCCTCACACGTTTCGTGGCCCCATAGGGAGCTCCAACGAAGGCCACAACGCCACCGCCCGCATGCGTCACCCACACCTATTTCAGCACACGCCTCACACGCTTCGTGGCCCCATATGCAGCTCCACCAACGGTCTCAGTGTCATCGCCGCATGCGTTATTCATATTCATTTTGGCACACCCCTCACACGTTTCGTGGC